GAGATTTTTCAATGCAAGGAATTTTTACATCTTGTTAAAGTCTAACAAAAACTGTAATAATATTTCTAGACTTGACTTTTCCAAGCTCTCCATCAGAAATTAAAGTTCAAAAGTAATTAAAAAGAGAGCTTTTGGAGTAGAATCTAATAAAAAGCTGAAAAAAGCTGATTTATATGTTTTCTTCTTACACTTTTGAAACCAACGAATTGGGTAGAAGAACCAGGAGATGACTGGGCAACCATCCATGTGGAGACCACTCAACTAAAATGCCTCCGTCGAACTACGAGATTAAGACCATCTCGTGTAATTATTTATGGTTAACAATTATATCATTGTTTACGTTGATTTTGAATTACGTACTTCAAAGAATGTATGCAATAGTCTCTCGTAATATTTATTAAAAATACTCCCTCGTGTTATACTGCACCAATGTCTATTATATGGACTATTCATATCAAAACATAAGTACGTACTTTTAAACTTAATAAAGTGTTTGGAGGTTCAAAGGTTTAATAAACAAATTTCAAAAAAAAAAGTTTAATAAACATGTATTTAATAACTATATACATCGAATTTATGGTTTGATTTTCAAAAAATGTGAACCATACATATTAATCAAAACAAATTTATCAGATTTGCGAATATGGTGGATGTTTAACGGTTTCTCGAAAAGTTCATCCTCATAATGTATAGATATAATTGTTTATTGTCTATTGTAAATCGTTTATAGAGTTGCTCGTCGTATCTCTAAATGATATAGGAAATTCATATCGTTTGTTGTGAATGATTAGATAATTATAATCTTAAAAAAAAAATCAGATGATCCAAAACTATAAATAAAGAGTTTGTTTTTTGAAGTGTATTTTTCGAAATTCACACTAGAAAAGCTTCGAAACGACCAAACCTTTGCACTTACAACATAATCGAATATGTGATAAATAATTATAGAATACATGTTAAACATTAGTTCTTTTCTTCTATATGCGGGTTAATTTAATGATTTTGTTGAAATATGCGATTGAGAACAAGGCTAAGTATAGAGAGAGGCATACTAATTTACAGTAATGCAGCAATAAGATCTCCGACTTGGAGTTGGACCTCTAGTGGGCATGAAATATTATGAATCTTTGTTGATAAAGAAATATTATGAAATTGCATACTACTCATTAGTTGTTGTGGTTGCCAACAAAAAAAAGTAAGTTGTTACGTAATGTCGTAATTAGTTCTACTATAACATGTTAGGTGCACAGTGGGTTTGTGTCTATAAATGAAAATATGTTTTAATCCTAAATCACATAAGGCCACTATTATTATGATTCACTAATCTGTCTAATTATCCAAATTGACTCGTCCTTATATCAGGAATGATTTATTTTCTTTTTCTTTTCGAATTAAAAATCTTCAGCCTTTCCAATCGAGACTAATTGTTTCGTAAAACAATGGAGATGATTTTTACGAGAAAAGAAAAGAAAATAGGTGAAATGATTTAAGAACTATGCAGAATTTTTTTGCTAAGAAGAACTATGCAGAATTGACGTTATTATTGAGAAATGCCTTTGAAGGACTTGGCCCGTCCACGAACATAGAGACTAGCTTATGGTATTAGATGAATAATAGCATTTTGATTAATTAAGTAGGTAGCTAAATATTTGATGGCTTACTTCCACATCTAATATCACTTAATTAGTCCTAGTTTATGATCAAACTCTTATGTGAAAGATTAAGAGATAGTCGAGGAACTACTGAATTAAAAAAAAAGGCTGAAATTTTATTTTTGACGATTAAATCTAA